GACATGTTTGGTTGAAGTCCCGGGGGCCTCGAGTGTGTTTCGGGGTGGTTTCGGATCATTTCGGGCTGTTTTGCAATAGCTGAAGCTGGTATCTGGTGTTGTTCTTCGCGTCCGCGAGGTCCTTTCGCGTTCGCGAAGAAGGATTTGGCTTCTGGGATTTTGGTCTTCGCGTTCGCGAAGAAGAAGAAATTCTGTTGCGCAGGTCTTACTTCGGAGGCTCATATCTCTCAACCTACAATGAATTTTGAGATGATTCAAAAACGAAAGTTGTAGTCGCTTTGAATCTAGTTTCTAGAAATATATTATAATAGTCATTTGGACATCTGAAGCAAAAGTTATGGCCATTATACTAGAGGCTATCCGGGAAGAGTTTGGAAAATGATTTTTCGAAATTTTGTTCTTCGCGAACGCGAGAGGAGGACCGCGAACGCGAAGAACAAATCCCTGGGCAGCAGAATAAAGTCCAAACTCATCTAACTCTTCCATTTTTGGACCAAGGGAGCTCGGGTGAGGTGATTTTTCGAGAGATTTTCAAGGAAAACATCGGGGTAAGTGTTCTTAACTCAATTTTGGTTAGATTACTCGAATCCATCGTTGTTTTTAACATTTAATTGGTGGTTTTGGTTGGTAAAATCTTGAAAACCCTCTTGGTTTAATTTGAAGATTTGAGGGTCGAGTTGATGTCAGATTTTGGTAAAATTGGTATGGTAGACTCGTGGTTGAATGAGTTGTCGGATTTTGTGAGTTTTGTCGGATTTTGAGACGTGGTTCCCGATGGGCGATTTTGAGTTTAATTTCGGATTTTTGTTGGAAAATTAGTATTTTCATATGGAATTAATTCGTACGATTTATATTGGGATATATTGAATTATTATGACTAGATTTGAAGCTTCGGACGAATTCGCGAGGCAAAGGCTTGTTGGAATTTGAATTGGTTGCAAAGCGAGGTAAGTGGTTTTGGTCTAACCTTAGCTTGAGGGATTAGGAGTTGTGTCATAATTGTTATGTGTTATTTGTTGAGTACGACGTATAGGCATGGTGACGAGTATCTATACGTTGGTGTCAAGCATGCCCGTGAGTCTTATACTTTGATTAGTGTGACTCCTATTTGACTTAACTAAAGAGTTTTGGCTCTCCTATTGTCACGTTATATTTTCATAACTACTTGACTCGTGTTGATTTTCGTATTATTGACTTGTATATTGTGGGATCGTTGCTACGTGTTAGTTTTCCCGCTATTGAACTGTTCTTTTTATGCCAGTATTCTTTTTTGTGGTTATTCCTTTGAGCTGGTTCTACCATTTTCTCGTGATTTACAGCCCATGAGTTGATTTACTTGTCTTACCTTGTATTATTGTCATTTATTGTTGTTATATGTATTGCGGTGATGTTCAGTCCTTCTGTTGTGATGTAACTGTTGATTCTGTTGGTTGCGTTGTGTATTTATTTTGGGACTACGATGTGGGATTCCGGTAGCTCCCCCTTGTTTGTTTACTTTGGGACTATGGGTTAGATTCCCGGGAGATCCCCCTGCACATTTACTTTGGGACTACGGGTTAGATTCCCGGGAGATCCCCCCGCATAGTTATATGGAACTACGGGAATGCACCCGGTAGATTCCCCCAGTACTGGGTATTTACATTTGGGACTACGGATCGGGATTCCGGTAGATCCCCGCGCATTATGAGTTGGACTACGGGACTGCACCCGGGAGATCCACTGGATATTTATACTTGGGGACTACAGGACGGTATCCTGGGAGATCCCCGGTTGTTATCTCTGTGTTGAGCTGTACTCCTTCCATGATTATTTTGTCTCCGTTGTAATTGTTGTTATCAATTCAAGTGTTTTAATGGTTTAGATTCCTTTACGGCTGTGATCCTTTGTGTGGGAATTCATAGTGTTGACAATACCTCGCCCTATTTGTTTCATATATATTCAATATTTCAAATTTCAACAACTGTTACATTTTTAACTCAATTAATTTCTCAACTAAATTTTCCTTAAACCGTTTGCGGTTGTACTTTACTTAAGAAGGAATTCTACTAAGTTAATTTATCAAATCCCTAGGTAAAAGTAATAATCCATTTGATGTTGTATTCTAATTGAAACATGGTACTTTATTTATTCAAACGATTTCTAAAAATAACTTCATCTTTTCGTGATGAGTTTCAAATGGGTTTAGAAGTTGTACTCTACTTCTTGTTAAGTAAATGAGGCTCCGTGAACATTCTTAAATTCAATTGGATTATGGACCCTATGAACTGAGTAACCTGAGAACGTTGTTGCGCAATGTGAAACAGAAATCTGTGGGTACAAGGTGCCGGGGGAAATATATATTATTTATGATTATGAAATGAGGCATCAAAATGTGACCTTTACTCGAAAGAGTTTTATTCGAAAGATGTTTGTTTGAAGGAAATATATTTGAAAGATATTTATAGTTGAAGGACTTGATTAATTGATTGCACTTGTACATTATTCGTTGAGCAATATTTATGGTGTTTTTGTTGCCTGCTATTTATATCACTAGATGATCATTATTGTCATCATTGTTATCTGCTTCCTATTATTCTTGTACGCTATATTGCACAGGTTTATTTGGTAGTCTGGTCCTAGCCTCGTCACTACTTCGCCGAGGTTAGGCTAGGCACTTACCAGCACATGGGGTCGGTTGTGCTGATACTACACTCTGTACTCTTTTGTAAAGATCCCAGTGCTGTAGACTTCGGACCGCAGTGAGATTTGCTGTTTCTTGTTCATTAGGCGACCCGAGGTAGTCCTGCAGGCGTCCGCAGGCCTTGGCGTCTCCATCTATCTACTATTCCTGTTTCCTTCATGTATTTCCAGAGACAGTGCTGTATTTATTTCTTTCAGACCTTTATTTGTAGTACTCTTAGACAGTTTGTGAAGTTGTGACACCAGTCTTGGGTAGATTTTGTTATGGATTGGTATTAGCAGTATTATTTAAAACTTTACAATGCAGCCTTCCGCTTATTCAATTCTGTTGTTATCTAATTGTTGGCTCTTAACTGTTATCGGATTAAAAATGGAAACAAGGTAAATAGTTCAGTTGGTTGGCTTGCCTAGCTTTCACTTGTAGGCGCCATCACGACTCCCGAGGGCGGGAAAATCCGGGTCGTGACACTGATCTTCTTTGGTATCCCTAAAACTGTTGTAACCATTCTGTTCCTGCCTGTTTGTGTTTGAATTCGAGGGAGCCTTGTTACACACAGCTCCACCTTGGTCCCCCTTTCTATAGTTAGTGGACTTCTCTTGAGCACTCACAGTTACACCAACAATACTTTCTTGGTTCAGATTTTGGGCAGACAAGTATATCTCCGTGTTATGAGTCTTTTCCTGCTTGTTTGAGTTGGTATTTGATCGAGCCTTATTAGTAAAAACTCCAATTTGATCTTCCTCATTCAATTCAGTTGACTGCTTTTGCACATTCACAGTCATATCTGGATTGCTATCTTTGAAACTTTGTAAATCCAAGGTTCTCACCTTGTTATGCATCTTTCTCCCATTAGAGTCATAAGATAGATTGAACACGGGCTTGAAAGTAACTTTTTCTTTCTTCTTAGGAAGTTTCCTCTGTTTGTTCTTCTTAGAATTCCTTTTGGATCTGACTCTGATGTTGCTGGGAAATTGTTGCTGGTAATTTTCAGATTCATTTCCATTCTTGTGCTTCAATTGACTTGGGCCACACTCTCTCATGCCTTTGTTTTCCTCATTCTATTTTGATACAAAATTTTGATGTATGAGAATTCTGTTTTCCTCATTCTGTTTTGAGACAGAATTCTGTCTAGCTAGGCTTGGTCCATCATTCTTTCGTCCAGTCTGCTTTGCATCAAGCTTTTGACGTTCATCACTAGTCTTTCTAGTTTCATCAACTTTTTGGCAGTCAAATTCAGTGTTTTGCCCATTCTGATTTGCAACAGTATTCATCCGATTTTCTTCAGGTGTTTGAGCGTCCAAAACTCTATTTTCTCCACCCTGATTATCAGCAGTTTTTTGATCATTTAAAACTCTATTTTCAGCAGCCTTTTTCCTCTCTAAAGCTCTACAATTGATTATATTGTGACCAAGTTTTCGACAGAATTTGCAATATTTAGGGACTCCTTCGAATTCAATTTTTTGTACAAATTCTTTTTGAGGAGCATCGTCAAATATTTTTCCAACATAAGCAGAATTGGGTTGGTCCTTAAGAAAGTCAATTTCAACTCTCACTTTGGCCATACTAGGCCTTGTTCTTCCTCTAGTAGCCAAATCCATTTCAAGGGGAGTACCAATTATACTCACCACTTGTTTAACATAATTCCATATGTGCATATGAAAAGGTAAACCAGGAAGGAGAACCCAAACCGGAGCAATAGGCAGGTCCTCCTCCGGCTTGAAATCCGGTGACCATTTCTGGAGCCACATCTGCTGCCCTTCGATTTCAATTACTCTTCTAAACCAAAAAGTACTAAAATTGTCTTCATTGGTGAAATCAAGAAAAACATTGTAATTATCATACACCCCAATCTTGACGGAACCCTTAATCGAGATTAGCTCCTTGAATTTTGATCTAATTTTGTCAATTTGGGGCCTTGGTTTTAGGAATCGGCCAACAATTGTGAGTTTGCACTCTTCAGCCATAACACCATAGTAGTCTGAAGCTTTGAAGAGAACCGCCGGCACTCCGTTGTATGTAGTATGAGTTGCAACGACAGAGTGTCTGCCATGGCGATTTGGAGGATTCGGAGTGTTCGAGGAGGAGATGATTTTGGTAGCATAGGTCAATTTTGTGTCACTTAGCTCAAAGGGTTGGTTCGCCATGTGAGATGGAGTCGATTGACCTTCCAGACGCGTCAGAACGGCGCCATCCTGCGGGTCCATCGGTGGGCGCGTGAAAAGGAGACGCTGGCTTTAGAAAGAGCCGTTGGTTCTTTTTAGAGAGAGAAGAGAGAGAATTTCAGGGCATGCGTTTTAAGATGGGTACCCAACTACTCGCTTCATTGTATCCTTAAACTACTTTCAAAGAGTGAATTGATGAAGTCCTTCTCACTTACTGGAATTGGAAGTTTGCAAACAAAAGGATTAACCCTTGCTATCATCCCTTGAGTTTTAGGCATCAGGTTAGAAGTACATAAAGCTTGCTGAATAAAAGGATGTTGCAATAGCTGTTCGGTTGTCCATCTTCTTCGAGGGTCCTTTATGAAACACTTGTATAGAAAATCTCTAGCAATCTCAGAAACATTACTTGGAATTATAGGGTCTTCATTCATAATCTGCCATTGCAAATCTTTAGTGTCGTGACAAAGCCAAAAGCGACTCCCAGTCATCATCTCTGCCACTGTACATCCTAGTGACCATATATCATAAGCTTTCGCATCATCTCTGCCCCGATTGCTCAACGGAGCTCCAGTCATATATGCCATTCCATCACCAACTTTTAATGACAATCCAAAATCAGCCAACTTCAACTTGTGCATGTCGTGTTCAGTAGCATTGAAAACCAAAATATTAGCAGGTTTAATATCACATTGAACCCACCCTTTTTATGAACATCTTGAATACCCTTTAAGAGTTGATACACATAGAATCTTTATGATCTCGGGGTTAGTCCCCGATTCCCTCTCATTTGGTCTCTCCAAGATCGGTTCATTTATGCGGGTTACTTTTCGGGACGACTCGGGCTCAATCCTGTTCGGGGCGCATCTTTGATTCTAGAGCTAGGCTATTTCAGCATGTTGAGCCTGTAACATTTCGAAGATGTCAACCACAAGTTGATCCCATCATCTTCGCCGCCGTGTGTATTTTGTGCAACCGATCGGACTTCTCTACGAATGTTGTTCTCAGGATCGTTAGGCAAATATTCATTGATGGCCACATGCGAGCTAGTGTCGACCGGATCTGCAACCGGAACTCCGTTGTGGTCGACGGGGGCACCTCATTACCGGGTGCCACGTTGTTGTTCTCGCCCTGGTGGCTGGATTCAGCATTCACGTTTAAAGGGGCAGTCTGGGAGTTTGACATTTCCAATTTTAACATGAAATCAAAGATACTCCAAAGAACAAGTGTAAAATAAGGTGTGTTATAGAGGTTCGTATCAAACAACCACTATTTTCCTTAGCCCCATGGTGGGCGCCAAACTGTTTACCCTCAAAATCGGATAACAATTGATTTTGTAAGTGGTTTGAAGGATACGCGGATTAATTTGACACAAAACTATAAATTGGATAAGATTGAGCAAGTAGAGATAAAATGAATTCAAACCACACGAATGAGACAGTTTCAGCCTTAGTGAAATTGTTCGCCCTCGATCCGGGCTTGCTATTATTAATGCTGATGAACCAGTGAAAAAAGCTAAATAACAGAGAAAATGATAATATATTGCCTTTGAACACGTGTTACAATGTATCTTCTGAAATATCAAACCCCGCTCCCCCCTCTTTATATAGTAGGGGAGTCCTACTTTAGGTACAACTTTATAAAAGGTAAAAAACTTCTAATTAACCGATTGCCGATTTCTTATCGATACGTGCCGAGATCCCCGCCGTGATATTCGGTCGGCCACGGTATCACAATCTTCTGTTGGCCGGACTTGATTACCTGACAACATCCTTCGAAATTAATCAAAGCTAGGATCGATCCCGAGTCACGACCCCGATATCCTCGAGGGTAGGCGTTGTGGTCCCGGACTCCAAATCGATGAGACCTCTATCTCGTTCTCGGCCCACTGTTATCGTATCTCGAGCTTGGCTTATCATATCGGAGACCAGGGTATACCACAAAACCGGTTTTACCCATATACACATGCACTTGTGGGATAATTCAGCCTATTTGTTTTTTTTCCTTTTCGTGATTGGTTTATAGACTTCTTATTGATCAAATGTAAAGCTAGCCTGAAAGATGAGTAAAACTGAGTTCTCGTTTGGGATAGTGTAGTTTTCGACAGGTTATTTAATTTTATCTCACAACTTTGGGATAGTGTTTCTTTCGGTAAAACCTTGGTACTAGTACTATCTACTTGGCTTTGCTGCCAAAATTTGCGATTCCCATTTTTTATGTTAATTTTTCCACTTCCGTTGTATTAGAGCCCGTTTGGATTGGCTTAAAAAAAATGAGTTTTCAGCAAAAATAGTTTTTAAGTCAAAAACAATAATTTTAGCTTGTTTTAAATAATTTTTAACTTTGTAAAACAATGAAAAAAATTAACCAAAAAAACTTAAAAGCTGATTTTACCAGCTCAAAAGTAAATTCAGACACCCTCTAACTGATTTGCTAGAATCACTAGCTTTTCCCGTATTTTGTTCTTCTCGTTGCCTTGTATATCTCTTTTAATACCTTGAATCTTTATCAAAACGATATTTCCTCAATGATAATATTGGATTTTCTTGTAGATTTCTGACAGCGTGGATCTGGAAATACGTAGTAGAAATCGCAAAATTTGGTATCCTGAATGGTTAAATAATATACGTGTAGAACAACAAAACAAATGGCCCATTAGCTCAGTTGGTTAGAGCGTCGTGCTAATAACGCGAAGGTCGCAGGTTCGAGACCTGCATGGGCCATATTTTTTTTCCCCTGAATTTTCTTTTAGGCTAAAAGACTACTGTATTTCTCTGTATATATCCACTGAGACTATCACTCTATCCTTCGTGCTGAGTAAGCAAAATGTACTTAATCTCTCTGTATATTAGTTACCGTATTAATTCCCAAAATTGAATGTCACGATGAATATTGTTTTTTGTGCCATTATATGTTGCTATTTGTTTGTTATTCTATTTCCTGAAGTGAAATATATCGTTGTTGGTCCATCTATTTCCTGTCAACTTTAATTTGCAGAAGTGAGTATCTTTATTCTCAATACTAACTTGCCACGTAACAAGCTTCCAACCAATAAAAGAAGACCTTATCCTATCTCTTATCTAAAATAATTTCTCCACCCTTAGCATATTGTTCTCTAATAAGCAGAAACACCGAGGTTTGGGGACCAGAAAACTGTGATTAATTAAAAAATGGCAGCTTCTCTACAAGCAGCTGCTACTCTAATTGGTGTTATTCCATCTAGAAACAATCTGCAGTTTAGATCTTCTCAAAGTGTGAGCAAAACATTTGGTGTTGAACCAGCTACAGCAAGGCTGACTTGTTCTTTGCAGGTTGATTTTAAAGACTTGGCTCAGAAGTGTAGTGATGCTGCAAAAGTTGCTGGCTTTGCTCTTGCCACTTCTGCCCTTGTTGTCTCAGTAAGTTGCTTGTTTTTACCCGAAATTCAGCCATTCTTTTTTCTTACTACAAACCCTGCGTCGTGTTCTAGGTCAGGAATTGCTGAGGCATAACATAATTAAGTATTGTCATTAAAAGTGAACTCTCTCTCTGTCAATTTAAAATTTTGAATGAGATGATCACATAATTTAATACGGGTTAGAGCCAGATAAGAGGTTTTAGGTTAAAATCAACACGTTTTGGCCATGAAATATAATCACGCCCACCCTTGGAAGGCATGTTGAGACATATTACAATTAGTAATGAAAAGTATGCTCTTTTAACTGGTTAAACTTTTAGCTATGTTAATCAAGTGATTCAACAACAATCGATCAATATTTCTCTTTTGCATAATATGCGATTGATTTTGATCTGGAAAATTACCCTTAGTGTTGCATGCTGGACAGGGGCGTACACAAAATTTTTCGTAAGTGATGTCGAAATTTAGAGAGGCGTACAAATGAAGATATTACTTTAATAAAATCATAATTTAGAAAACACAATTCAAATATATTAATACAGTTCTCCCCCACGAACTTTTATTTTTATAAAATGTATTCATAATAGACTCAGTACAAATATTACCTAAAAAAAAAAAAATCTATTTAAGGCAGCAAACATTTACTCAATAGCTCATTATCCATTCGAATCCATAGGACGCTGCTTCTTTCAAAAAAATTCCAGAAGAATACTAAAATATTAAAAAAAAAGTTGTTTACACCGTGGGAGTCGAACGCTTGACTACAAACAGAAACTAGATTGCTTCACCAACGGGCCACTATAGTTGTTATGTCAAGTTGTGCCATTTATTAGATTTAGACTATATTTCCTTTTGCAGATTTTATATATATATATATATATAAAAATTTCCAGCCAAGCGGTGTCGGATGGCTCAACGTGCCTTAGTGGCGAAGTCAGAAATTTCATTTAGGGTGTTCAAACTTGAAAGAAGTATAAAAACTCTCCAATAAAGGGTGTTCAATATATGTTATATAATATAACACTAAAATCTAATATTTTACGTATATATACCGTGTAAATTTTCGATGAAGCCCTTGGGGCTATGTAGCTTCGCCAATGAGGTGCCTCCGCCCCTGATGCTGGAAACCCTCCAAAATGTAACCACAATCAGATTTGCTTAACCATTCTTCTCTTCTTAATATTCTGGAAAACTCACTATGTTTTCTTGTGGAAATTCAAATTCTTCCATTTTGACTTTGTAATCCGGAAGGATTTTTGGCATATTGTCAACAGCAAAAATAGTCGGAGCAGAATTTTTTTTAGGACAGTGATTAACACTATCAAAGTGTATGTTATTCTTTTTTTGCAATTATATTTTCTGGCGACAAATTCCTAAAGTCTGTTACACTTAACTGTGTAGGGAGCAAATGCAGAAGGAGTTCCAAAAAGACTGACCTTTGACGAAATTCAAAGCAAGACATACATGGAAGTAAAGGGAACTGGAACTGCTAACCAATGCCCAACCATTGAAGGAGGTGTTGAAACCTTTGCATTTAAGCCTGGCAAATACAATGCCAAGAAATTCTGCTTAGAGCCAACTTCATTCACTGTCAAAGCAGAAGGTATTATTGAATAATTGTAATTCCATGTTTAATTTAACCTATTCCTTTTGTATGTTAGAGTATATAGTTCTACTTTTTTCACAATTTATCGATCAAATAAATAGTGGAAGATTTTCTTGAATTTGTGTTGGAATGAAAGGCTGCGTTTAAGTTCTATACATCGACAGTGTAAACGAATTTTTACACTTATAAGTCACTTAAAAGCTAACTAGGGTAAACTGCTCAATATTGATGAAAGTAGTAGCCTGGAAAATAAGATAGATAATATGTTATAACATGTTAAATTACACTGTTAGTGTATATATGTCAATTAAATCCGCCTATAAATAGGAATGTATACTTTATTATTATCCCTTAGTTCTTAACTTAATTTCTCTCTGTTGTCTTAGCTTTTATTCCAATTGTTAATATTCTATTTAAATTCTAACAGGAGTGAGCAAGAATTCACCACCAGAATTCCAGAAAACCAAGCTTATGACCCGATTAACCTACACTCTTGATGAGATTGAAGGACCATTCGAAGTATCTTCCGATGGCAATGTTAAGTTCGAGGAAAAAGATGGAATTGATTATGCTGCGGTCACAGTTCAACTTCCTGGTGGCGAGCGTGTCCCCTTCCTTTTTACAATCAAACAACTCGCAGCTAGTGGTAAACCAGAAAGCTTTAGTGGTGAATTCCTCGTGCCATCATACAGAGGTTCGTCGTTCCTTGACCCAAAGGGACGAGGTGGATCAACCGGCTATGATAACGCTGTTGCATTGCCCGCTGGAGGTAGAGGAGATGAAGAGGAACTTGAGAAGGAAAATGTAAAGAACACATCATCTTCAACAGGAAAAATTACTTTGAGTGTTACTAACACCAAGCCAGAGACTGGTGAGGTGATTGGTGTATTTGAGAGTATTCAGCCATCTGATACTGATTTGGGAGCAAAGGTACCTAAAGATGTAAAAATCCAGGGTATTTGGTATGCACAACTTGACTCATAGAGACTCTAGAGTTTTTGTTTGGATTTTGTTGTAAGGTATGAGGTTGAACTTGAACAATCATAGAGACAAGTATCTTAATGTATATTATCAAGAAAAGAAAAGAAAGAGAAATTCAATGCGATATAGTGAGTTGCAAATCCTTTTAACTCATGACAGAGTACAAAGCACTCATTATGAATAATCAATTTACATTCTTACTTAACTATGGTAAATTAATATATATATTCAGTTCACTAAATCACTTACAGCTTGTTTGGGTGGTTGTTACCCATTGTATTGTATAGTATTGTTACTTTAAATATGATGTTTGTTTTGATTGTTAATTGAATTTTATTTTATCGTATCGTTAAATCTGTCGTTACGTAACGACGAAATGTGTCACTTTATGTAACGACCAATTTGGTGTCGTCGCGTCGTTACCTCGTCTTTTTCTCTTATCTCACCCTTTATTATTATTAAATAATTTTATCTTATCATTTACCCTATCTTTTTATATAATAAGTTTACCTCGTATCATGATTTTTATTTATAATATTGCAAGTTTATTCTTCATATTGCTGGTACGTGAAATCATAAAATGACGGCAAACGATATAATCTATCCAAATATTGTATTCATCAAGCGATACAGACAATACAATACAATAAGATACGATACATTATGAAATAATATGTAACGACCATCCAAACAAGTTGTTAATCATGCTAAGTTAATATGACTTGGTGTAAACACGCAATTCGGTGATTTTTCCTTGTGTTTCAACGTTCTGCACCTGCAAATTAGCACAGACTCCCTCGACTGGTTAATTTGTTATCTTCAAAGTATATTCCGGAGAGACAATAAGTTTCTTCCCTTTCCTTGAAGATTCTTGACCAAAAAATTCCCAATGACAACCAACACCGTATTTTATCCGTGGAGTATCTTAGTAATTACCCATGTATTATCACATTTTGAGAAAAAAGAAGATCCTATCTCCTATGTTTTCAACCTCTTTTTAATTTGGGGGAAAGGTTCTCAACAATCCAATTCACAGTTAAAGAAAATGCTAATGCTATTAAATCAACGTCACCTAACTTACACAATGTAAAGGAGAAGGATTCGTCCTATCAGTGGCCGATCTAACAATAATAATATATTCAGTGTATCTCACATCGTGAGGTCTGGAGAAAGTAGTGTGCACGCAAACCTTATCCCTACTCTTGTGGGGATACAGAGTCTGTTTCCAATAGATCCTCTGCTCAAAGAATGCAGTGGCCGATCCAAGATTTCAAAGTTATACGTGCTCGCCGATAAAAATTTCAAAAGAAAAGGAAAAATAAATTTAGTGATGGGCGCCCAATCATTACTTTAATAAAAAATTTATAATTGCCTATGTAAATCTACCAAGTCTGGTCCAAAGCAATGATGTGCTTAAGCATCCTTAGAGCTTCACGTAGATCCAAACTGCATCCTATACCCACTCAGATGAATCTAACAGTTTTGGTCCAATTTTTGTATTAATTTATCTTAAAAATTTATTAAATATATACAAATTAGTATTAATTTAGAACCAAATTTAAAAGCGGTGGCAGATCTAAGTAGAGTCATGGGGGTTCAATCGATCCCTCTTCATCAGAAAATTACACTGAACAGATAGCGTAATAATGATTGTTTTGGGGTTATATGTGAGCCATTGAATCCCCTTGATATGAAAAAATTCAAGTATAATAGTAAAAGGGGTTCAAAAGTTGCTTTAGATCATAGGTCTAAATCCCATCTTTGAAATCCTAGATTTTTTTTTTAATTCTCTTGTATTAATTTATGGTGTTTACCTCAAAAATATGAGTAATAATTAAATTTGATTTATGGTTTTAAAGATATGTGATTTAGTTCAATACTAATTAATAACCAAGAAAAATAACGTATAAATGAAGGAAATAAGTAAAATCAAACCAGTGTGCAAGACAATCTCGACCTCGAGCTAAGGTGGCCTCGATGTTGGTTAAGAACAGTAAAGCAAGAACAATCAAGTAAAGAGACGATTCTGATGAAATATGATTCAAAAAGTAAGAGAGTATATTCTTTTGCCAATGATTGATTATGGTTACAAATGATTGGGGTCCCCTTATATAATAGGGAAACCCTAAATAAGGTATATTTCTATTTACAGTAAAGAATCGTTTTGGGACAACTGTCTAACCGCCAAGTACAGATTAGTGCTAACTCGTACAAATCTATTCCGAAATTTACGTCGCGATCTTGGGGACGTGGCAGAAATCTTGCTCATTCTGTAACAAAGCCACAACAACATTATCTCGAAGCCGGTCACGTTCGGCCTCGATATTCATCGGTCACTTTGATCGTCGATCTTCGAACTCTGTCATCGGCCTCGAACCCAGTGTACTTCGTACCGATTCTTGAAGTGGTTCCTCAAGCCCACTAAATCGAGCATACTTGATGTTGACCGTATACAGATAGTCCCCGCGTTTCTTAAAATAAGATGATAAGAAACGACTTGATCTCCGATGCTCTGATGCCTTGATCGTGGTGTCAATCTCGTGACATCAGTTGTCATACCTCCTTTTTTACACACCTACCCCGAAGGATAATGTAAAAGGGAGTTTTTCCATTTAAAGTGACATTATTCGAAATGGGATTATTTATTTATTTTTAGAGTCGCCACTTGGGATAGAATTGGCTTTTGGTGTCCCAAGTCACCGATTTATTTTGAATCCCAAATCGAGCAAAATTTCGACTTCCCAATTGGAGTCTGCGAACCAGAAATTCTGAATAAGGAATTCTGTTGACCCGAGGGAAGGTGTTAGGCACCCCCGGATCCCGTGGTTCTAGCACGGTCGCTTAAATTATTATAATTGGCCTATTATCTGATTTTAATACATGTTCAAACCTATAGTGCAATTAAAAAAAAATTTGTTTAACCGCTTTTATTTAGTTTTTTATGAAAGTGAACGCCGTTTAAGAGCGTGTTTTTGGATCACGTCACATGAAATGCACCCGGATCCTCGACACCTCTTATTCAACGTTTTGGGATCTGGATTTGGGTAGCATGAAATGCACACCCGTATTTAAGAAGGTAAAATTATTAAAAGCGCGCCTAAAGTGGCTAGCGTCTTATTAACTTTGCGGGAAGCCATGAAAATTCGCTAAATGGCATGTCCCGAATTTCTAAAATTAAAGGAAGTTCGGACTAAGCTTTTGAGGGCCATAGACTATATCTTACTTAACATGGTACCAGGTGACAACATTCAACCATTTGAACAAATTTATTTGTTTTAAGTAAACCAACAAGGCCTATATTTGAAAGCTTCAACAAACAGAAGTTATAGAATTGTCAACTTAATAAACAACTAAACAAGATCTTATTATATCATAAAAGAAATCACAAGAAAAAAAAACGACATGCACACCTCGCAAATCCCCTTTTTGCTTTATTCTATTTTGGGATAATCACACGCTTATATTGGATATATGTAAAACAATTTTTTTTTGTTCTTTCCTTTATAATTCAGTGGCTTCAACAGAGAAAAAGATTGCAATAACCATTGAAGCAAATTCCTAGCAAGCTTTTTGTAGTTTAAACACAAAACACATAAAAACGCATCAAACCACACCAACTCATGAATCAGTTGACTAATTCTAGTTCAGTTACGTAAATCCCAAACAAACACGCATTTAAACCCTAACAAAGAAAACCAAAACAATACCATACGCATGTTAAACAAATGGACTTTTAAACAGAGAAAATCAAAGTAAAATATGAACATTACGGCAAATCTTAGAAGAAGACACGATTTGTCGACAGAAGAATCGCCGATTAACAGCTTGAACAAGTATCCACTAATAAAAGAGAAATTTGCAGAAAAACAAACCCAAATAAAGGCTGGAATTGAACAGGAACTCAGCGACATAGCTTCGATGGAAATTCAGCAACAACAAGCCAACGAATTCAAACCCAAATCCAATAAGCAAGCCATTGCTCATCATCCAGCTTCGATGGGCTCTCCATGATTTCTGCTTCAAGCTTTCAGCAATTATTTTTTTTTTGATAAAACGGAGAACTCCAAAGTTTTGGACTTGTCGAAGCTTAACAAACTAAAGTTGCAAAGTGACTATGGCATTTTTGGGTAAAAAATGGTAAGATGGGCGGCGGGCAGTGGAGTTGTTGAGAGGAGGGAGTTTTTGTTCTTCGTTTTAATCTGTGATTTTTTGAGAGCCTGAAAAAGAAGAAGAAGGGAGGTATTTCATTGATCTCTATTTTTTTTAGGTTCAGAAAGAGAGATGAAAGCTAGGAACGCCGTTTATCTCTATGCAAGAGTCTCATGTGTTCTCTAGGTCTAGCCCTCTCAATGTGAGGGAGGGGTCTGATTTAACAAGAGGGAAGGGATTGGGTTTGGGTTGTTTTTGATTTGGGCCAGCTGGGTGGAACAAAAATTTGGGCCAATGTATTTGTTCTTTGGGGTAGCCCAATACATCAAGACTAACTCAATTTCTTTTTCCATTTTTCCCTTTTTTTTAGTTAAAAATCCTAGAAATTAAGATCCTAGATTATCTAAAATGTGAAATTAAAGTAATTAACTAATTATAAAAATTTTAAAAGCTAACTAATCGTAAATTAAAAGAGAAAAAATTAATAAAAGGAAAAAGTGTAAAAAATAAAGCATTTTTTGTGATTTTCAATTTTTATAAAACAAGTAATTATTGGTTAATTCTAAAAATGTAAAAATAAAGCCTAAATGCCATGCGTAATATTTTTGGTATTTTTTTATGATTTAAATGCAAGAAGAATGCAAACAATTAATAAAAATCTATAAAATTCCTAAAATGGCAAATAATTAAGGAAAAATCTATTTTCTCGGGATTTTGTAGGAGTATTTCGTATAGGGCAAAAATCACGTGCTTACGAGCGACTGAAGCGATTGAAAGGTCGCTTCTGCATAGTTCCCAAGGTCATTAATTGGAGGCGGCTGATGGTCGGCCGTTGTTTCCCCAAACCGTTAAAGTGGCCTCTATAAATAGGCCAATTTCACAATTTTTGCAATCTTTACTTCTCAAATCATCCTTAAAATCTCACTAGCTTCTTCAACTTCTCTAAGTTCACCATTTTCTCCATTGTTCTTACTACAGTATCAACTCCTTCTCTTCTCTTGAATTTCTCAAACACAATGGCTAAAACGTCTAAATCTGTTCCTCAAAAAGAAAAAG